AAAAATATGCAACTCCTCGTGGCTTCTCTGCTATAGAAAGGTGAAATTTGTCTCTCTGTGTCTACTGTTGAGATGCCCCCTCTTTGGGTCCCATTCTGGTCCTTTCACAGTTCCTAGTTGTTTGTGTCTCTTGTGGGTAAAAGGAAACGAAGCAACAAACAAACAATCAAACAAAAAGGCAGGAGAGGAGAGGCAAAAGCGATGAGTTTAAGAGGAAAGGAAGAAGGACTAAAACAGGGAAAAAGAAAGGAGAGGAACAAAGTATAGAAAGATAAAGCAGTGATAAAATTAAAAAATATATAAGGTTAGTGAACTAATGCACAAAAAAGTTACTAAAAAAGGGAAAAAATAGAAAAAAATTAAAAAAATAAATAAACAAGCAAACAGCAACAAAAATAAAACAAAAACAACAACAACAGAGAAACCCTTCCCTTGTTGGTTTCAAACTGTCCAGACTGGTTTTTCTGGTTGCAGCAAGATCTCTATGTGTGCTGGGATGCCGGGGCAAGTGAGCGCCCCAACCAGGCTGCCAGATTGGGGTGTGGGCACTCGCACACTCATAGGGCAGTCAGGGACTGCGAAACCGGCAAGGGCTTCCCGGTCCTGTGGCACCGGTCTGGAGTTCTCTGCGCCTGCACCCTGGACAGCCAGGCCTTCTGGGACCGGCGAAACTGGCTGGGCGTTTCCAGGTCCTGTGGCACCGGCCCTGAATTCTCTGCACCCATGCGCTCGTCCACCTGGCCTTCTGGGACATGCGAAACCAGCAGCGTGTTTCCCAGTCCCCTGGCGGTGGCTCAGAGGCCTCCGATATCACCAAGCCGTCTGGGACCTGAGATACCGGCAGGGCACTTCCAGTACTGTGGCTAGTCCCCAAATGCCTCCAGTTTCCCCCTGGCTCACTGCAAGGCCAGATGGGAAGCAAGCCAAGCTACCCTGGCAGGAAAATACCTCAGTCCACTTTCAATAAAAAAACAGAACAAAACAAAACTCTCCAGACAGCCTGTCTCTCAGCCCTGTTCAGTCCCCGACCAGACCGTGGGGCTAATGCGTCTCTCAATTCTCCCAGGCTTGCGGTCACAGAGTCTGCAGTTGAACCGGGCCCTGTGTCTTTGTACCCTTCCTTGATAATGCAGGCGGGCAAGCAGACAGGTCTCTGCCCGGTGTTGTCCAGTTTTGCTTATACAGGAAGCGGGGGAGCTGCTGGCCCGCGCCGGTGGCCCCTGGGGCCACTGGGTGCCCAGGCTCCTGTGGTAGACCTCTCTGGTGTTGGTCTCAGACCAATGGCTCTGGACCCTGGCCGTAGAGGCAGCACCAGGGCCACCTGGCCAGGGGTGCCAGCCCCCACTGCTGCTTTGTCTTTACTCTGGTCCCCAAGACCCCACTGACCTGCCGCTTTCTGGTGTTTCAGCGTCCGTCACAGTCTCTGTTCTTTTAATTTCACAAATGCTGGATAACTGATGAATTAGTGCGCTGCTTTTCTATAGATCTGCCAGGATTTTCACCCATGAGTACAGGAGCTGGAATCCGCTCCACCCTACTCTGTCGCCATCTTCCCCCTGGAATTTTTTCTATCTTTTCTTCACCAATACCAGCTTATAAAGTTGGAGGAAAAAAGGACAAAAGGGTAGATAAGTTCCATAAATAGGACCATCAAGTAGCATCAGACAGAGGTATTCTGAACAGTTCCCTTTCTGGCACCAAACCAGAAGGACTCTATAGCTCCAAAGTGGGTGGGGACTGTGGCCTCCTTTCATCTCCATAAACCTTGATCAGAGGCTGTTGAACCCTTCAAACTGGAAACAGTAATGACTTCCTGCTTCTGTGGTTGGTTAAAATAGTAAACCTGAAATTATACCAAATAACCTGAATTAGACACATGCTTTTTCTCAACTAAAATAAAGTTTGCCTTTGGACTAACTTGTTTGAGGATACTGAACTTAAATGGTTAAATGGAGAAATTGGTGTTCCTGAAAAATTGAGGAAATTAGGTTAGCAGTGTAGAATACCAAGCTTTTCACTAGAGAAACCCATTTGTTTGACTCATGTTTGTCCTTCATGGGAGACCAAGATAGACAAAGATGAAGTCAAAGCCCAACCCAGATGTTATTAACAGCAACCCCATCTAGGGCTCAGATTGTCCATTAGGAGTGGGATTAATTAAGCTATTAGCAATACAGTACTTGTTTGTAGACCCAGAATGAGTTTGCTGTCTCTTTCCTACAAAGTCACGTATTTTATTTGCATCCTGAATCCTCCCTCTCTGCTCCCATCTTCGCGTCTCACCACCTGCTGGACATCTCAGAGGGGCTGTCTTGCTCATCAGGCACATCAGGCCTGAGGTATAAACTAGCACCTCACCCCCATTTGCAAGTACACTCTTGCTCATGTGCCTCACCTCCATTTCCTGTACAACCTCTTCTCCCATGGGAACTCCAGTGTTACTAAGATTTCTTCCCCAGCACTCTCTCAAGATAACCACCCCCAAGGCTTACTTACTGTCTCTCAAGATGCCTTTGCATTCTCTGCCTTGGCCCTCGATGAGGTGCCCATTGCCTTTTGCCTTCAGCAATAAAAGCCTGTTCTCCTGTTTCTGTCCTTTCCAGTGAATTCTTCACATCGAAGTGAGATCTCAAAGCAGGAGTCAAATCCTGTTTATCTCCCTGCTTAGAGAGGTCCACTGATTACCAGAACTGGTAGTTTCTCCCTCCCAGCATGACATTCTGGGTCTTCCACTTTTCATTTGTAGTTGAGTTGTGATCATAGCAGCTGTTCTCACCCATGGCTGCACACAGTGCTCAGGGCCCAGCACAGATAGTTAAATCAGAGCCTCTTGGGGGCAGACCCCGGGTGATGGCACTGTGCAGCCCTGGAGGGACACAGCCTGCTGTGCAGCTCCCCACAGCTCTTGCTACTTGATCCCAGTATACCAGTGTGGCACCACAAGAAGATCCCAACCAGTCTTGACTGGAGGGAGCTATCAATTTGGAGGTCACTGTCATGCCACTCTGCAGCTGTTCCAGGACTGAGTCCTGCTAAGCCTCCATTCTCTGCCTATGCCATTTCATACACTTAGTAAGCCTTCTCCTAACCTCTCCACCTATTGGGATGCCATTCCTTATAATAGGTCCAGTTTAAAGTGCCACATCCCCCAGTTAGAAACAGTCATCTTCAATATGATGTAGCACAGTGAAGGGGCACTGGGTAAACATTTGTTGACATGTAGTTACATGTTCCTAGAGAGATTCTGGCTCACTACAGAAAGTTTAGGGCCCTAGAAACTAGCTAGGTACTTAACAAAAATCAAAGAAAACTGGAGACCTTTAGTGTTTAGTTACAGGAATGCATATATACATAAACCATCCAGACTGGTCTACTTTTTATTACTGGTTTGTTAGTTTATCATCGTTGTTTTAACAAACTATAGATTTATCATACTACCATAATCAATTATTCCTGAGAGAACATTTGAACACCAAGACTCATAGTAGTTGAACACCTTTTACTGAATAACTTCATAGAAGGGGATCCAGCATATACTAGGCACTACTGTAGTGACCCCCACAAATATAACTAAATTGAGAGGAGGATGTTAGTGTTTCTAGTCTTCTAATTTTTAAAGCTTCATAGCATCCAGAAAAGCTATTTCAGTCTCAGAAGAGATTCATTTACAATGTTCAAGGAGTTCTTTTGAAAGTGAGAATGCATTGTATTTATAGTATCAAGGAAGAAGGGAGTATATAATACGCTATTAGGAGTATTTGAGAAAAGTGAAATATTTGACAAAATTCCTCAAGCACTTTAAACTGATCTTTTCCTCAAGGTTAAATTGGCTAAGACTACAGGCTATTAGAATCTTCTAAACAATTTTAAAAGTGACTTTAATTTTTTATTAATTCATCAGTATAGAAGAAGTAAAATACTATACGCATTTTAACTACAATATGATTAACATTTGAGTGCTTGGTAGGTGTGAGGCACTATTTCAAGTATGTTTTGTCCACTGACATATTTGTTTCCTACATATAATAACTTTCCATATGCTTTCTCTCTTATATGAGGTTGGTATTCAATACAGTCTCCCTATCTTTATTGAGAGGACCAGGACCACTAAAACAAGACTCTCAAGCCCTAGAGATTTTAGTCCTCTGTTACCACTGTTCTAAAACCCTAGTCACATCACAGTAACCTCTCTGAGACTTGAAAAGAAAGGAAGGGTCTGATTATCTCTCTGAGATCTTGTCTCCCTCGTTTTATGAACATTTTATTATATATGTGCAATTTAAAGGTCATACAAGGAGTTTGACCTTTTGTATTGTGAAAAATACACCTGTAAAATATATCCTACCTATGTATTTACAAATCAGTGAATAATTTAAAATAAAATAACCATTTAACTACTGATCAGAACAAGTAATATATTCCCAGCTTCTAAAATGTGCCCACAGGCTCCTGCCTAGGTTCACAAACCCTTCCTTCTGCAGATAACCATGAATGTGTCCTTTGTGATAATCATTTCTCTTCTTTTATTTATAGTTTCACTATTAATATATTAATCTTTATATGTGTAATGTTGCCCATGTTCAAACTTAATATGATGAAATATTGTACATATCTTTTTGTATTTTGCACCTTACTTTATTGTGATAATCCTTTGTGTTGTTGCTCTGGTTATTTGTTCACTTTCATACCCATTGCCTGAATATATTCCTGTTTATTTATCCATTGCATTGTTGGCGGACAGTTCAGTTGATTCTGTTTGGGATCTGTTGTGGAACTAGTATTGACTGGTTGCATGTGTATATCTTCGACTGTGTTAAATAGTGCCAAACTGTCTGCCAGAGTCCTATACTCCTGCAACAACTTAAGAGCATTCTTGTTATGTCACATCTTTACTACCACTTTATGTCCTCAGACTTTGTAATTTTTGCCAATTCATATAGATGGTTGTAAAAGCTTGAATCACTTAATTTCATTTCTGACCACATCTTGTCTGATCCCAGTGAAACAATCTCCTGTTAATAAGAAAATCATCATAATCTTAGAGAATTTGGAAAAATCTTCATTGTCAGAGTTATTGGGGGACTGCTTGGCACCTCTGGAAAATCACAGCACAGAAAGCCCCTGTACTTTCCAAACAGGTAATGATTGCGGTGAGACAAGACCATGCTGAAAAGCAAGCTCCTGTGCGATCATTCTACTCCTTCTGTCTCCAGAGTACATGCTATGTTTCTTTTTCTTCTTTCTTTGACTTATTTTAATTTGCATTTGTTGTATAACATGGCTCATTTTGGGAAATGGAACATCAAAATGTTACTACTTTCATGAGAGCTGCTTTCTGATGGGCACCGTTGCGAAGGCCTGTCTCAGGGCTCTGACTTGCTGGTGCAGCAGCATTTTCACTGGGTGCAGCTGCGGTGGGACAGCAAGCCCGTGCAGGGCCTGCTGCAGAGGTCCTTAAGAAGGAAAGTTGTAAATCAGGTAGCCAGCCCAGAGCTGCAGCTTTTTAGGAGAGGGGTTTTGGTGTCTGGAAACTTGGGCTTAGTTCTACCATTTACTAACTTTGTGGCCTCAGGCAAGTGCAATATTTTCATATTCAAGGATTAAATAAGATAAGGTATATAAAATCCATAACAGTTTCTAGACCATATTAAGTTATCTAAAGGTAAATAGGTTTTTACCATTATTAACTAACCAAGTTCTAGATGCCATAGAAGACTAGATTGTAAAGTTAATCACTATTCTTAAGGAGAAGCCAGTGCTACCATGAGGTCTTCAGAACATCATCCACCCACTCAAGCTACTTTTAATATAAGACTGTTAAATTGGCTACAGTAATATTAAAAGGTCACATGAAAAATTAGAGCTCTATTTTTTGGTGCATTTCCTTTTTTAAAATATTTTTTTATTTTTCAATTACAGTTGACACACAATAATATATTAATTTTAGGTGTGCAACATAGACACTTATAAAACTTAGAAATTGATTACCCCAATAAATTTAGTAACTACCTGGCATTGTACATAGTTCTTACAATATTATTGACCATATTCCCTATGATGTACTTTATTTTTTTAAACATTTTACTTTTATTTACTTTTAGACAGAATGAAAGGGACGGAGAAAGGGAGAGAGAAAGAGAGGGAGAGAAACATCAATATGTGGTTGCCTCTTGTGCACCCCACACTGGGGACCTTGCCTGCAACCCAGACATGTGCTCTAACTGGGAATTGAACCCGTGACCCTTTGTTTCACAGGCCAGCACTCAATCCACTGAGCCACACCAGCCAGGGCCCTATGCTGTACTTTACATCCCAGTGACTATTTTGTAACCACCAATTTGTACTTATTAATCTCTTCCCCTTTTTTATTCCTTACCCCCTCCCATCTGGAAACTATCAAAATGTTCTCTATATCTATGAGTCTGTTTCAGTCCTACTTGTGTATTTTGTTTATTGGAATGGACATGTAAGTGAAATTAAACAGCATTTGTCTTTCTCTGTCTGACTTATTTCACTTAGCATAATACCCTCTAAGTCCATTAGAGTTGTTGTAGATGGCAGGATTTGATTCTTTTTTATGGGTCTGTCATGTTACAGTGTACATATGTACCACTTCTTCTTTATGTATTTATCTATTGATGGACACCTAGGTTGCTTCCATAACTTGGCTATTATAAATAATGCTGCAGTGAACATATGGATACAAATATCTTTTCAAACTAGTGTTTTGGATTTCTCTGGAAAAAATACCCAGAAGTGGAATTGCTAGGTCCTTTGTCTCCCATAGTAGCCTTCATTTTAAAGTCTGGTTTTGTCTGGTATAATAAGTATTGATACCCCAGCTTTTTTGTTTGTTTGTTGCCATTTTCATAAAATAGCTTTTTCCATCCCTTTACTTTCAGTCTATGTGTTGTTTTCAATCTGAAGGGAGTCTCTTGCAGACAGCATCTGAAGGGTCCTGTTTTATTATCCATTCAGCCACCATACACCTTTTGTTTGGAGCATTTAATTCATTTACATTTAATGTAGTTGTTAATAATATGTGGTTATTGCTATTTTATTATTCATATTTTTTCTCTTTTTTTCTTAAAGAGTTCCTTTAACATTTCATATAATAATGGTTTGGTCGTGATCAACTCTTTTAGCATTTTCTTATCTAGGAAGTCTTTTATCTATTCTTCAACTCTAAATGATCACTTTGCTGCATAGAATAATCTTGGTTGTAAGTACTTGCTATTCATCACTGTGAATATTTCATACCAGTCCCTTCTGGTGTGCAAAGTTCCTGTTGAGAAATCAGCTCACACTCACGGGAGCTCCATTTTAGATAACCAACTACTTTTCTTGCTGCTTTTAAGATTCTCTCTTTGTTTTTAAACTTTAACATTTCGGTTATGAGATGTCTTGATGTGGGCCTCTTTGGGTTCATCATGTTTGAGACTCTGTAAATCCTGAGCTTGTATTTCCTTCACCAAGTTAGGGAAGTTTTCCATCATTATCTTTTCAAATAGTTTCCAATCCCTTTCTCTCTCTTCACCTTCTGATGCTCCCGTAATATGAATGTTGTTATACTTGAAGTTGTCTTAAATGCCCTTTAAACTATCCTAATTTTTTAAGATTCTTTTTTTTTTTGCTGTTCTGATTCATTTTTTCTGCTACTCCCAAATTGCTGATTTAATCCCCTGCTTCACCTAATCTACTTTTAATTCCCTCTAATATATTCTTCAGTTCAGTTATTGTATTCTTCATGTCTGATTATTTCTTTATGTTTTCTATGTCCATGTTTATGTTTCCTGTCTCTTTGTTGACATTCTCACTTAGTCATTGAGCATCCTTATAATCAGTGTTTTGAACTCTGTATCTAATAAATTGCCTACCTCCATTTTGTTATGTTCTTTTTTTGGAGTTTTGTTTTGTTCTTTTATTTGAGACATGTTTCTTTGTCTCCTCATTTTTTCTGCCTCCCTGTGTTTATTTCTATGAATTGGGTACAATTGATATATCTCTCAGTCTTGGTAGAGTGGCCTTATGTAGTAGATGTCTTGTGGGGCCCAGTGGCATAGTCATCCTGGTCACCTGAGCTGGGTGCTCCAGGTGGGTTGTGTGTCTTCCTATTGTTGTTGAGCCTTGATTACTGTTTGCACATCATTGTGAGGTATTCACCCTTTGGCTGATTGGTAGTGAGAACTGGCCTTGACTACAGTGGAGGAGCTATTATGTAGGAGGTGACCCTATGGAGCAGGGTTTGCTTCAGTAGAGGTCTAGGGTCTGCCATGTCTGCTCTTTGGATGTACTGTTTGTGGAGCTGGTGTGATCAGTGGCTAGCCACCTGGTGTGTTAGTTCTGGAGCCTCTTGGCAGGAACTCTAGTTCAGGCCAAGGTCTGCCACTGCTTTTACAGTTCCCCAGGGCCACTTGGTGTGAGCTATGAGGTAATTTGAAAATGGTTGCCACTCGTTCTGGGCCTAGAGGTGCCTGAGAGAGGCTACGCTGTGAACTGAGGCCAGCTACCACTAATGCTTGGCTGGGGATTGCTTAGTGAGAGGTATGTGGAGGCCAGATGCTACTTGTTTGGGGTTTGTGAACCTTTGAGGGATTTTAGGAAAGACCAGAGGATGATCCAAGACAGTCCATATATATGAAAAAGCCACTGGAAATTGCTTGGGTGGGCTTACTAGTTGGGTGAGTGGAGTCTCTGGAAATCACCAAGGCAGGCGTACAGTGGTATCCATACTGATGGAAATTCAGATAAGCTACCTGCATGCAGGGGGAGGACTCAGCAAATGAACAATGGCCTCTGCCGCACTTCTGTCTGGGAGAAAGCTGTCCATCCAACACTTGTGCTAAAGCCAGATAATTCATTTCCTCCTGGTGCCTTTTGAGTTTCTGTCCTACCACTGGAGCTTAGAGCGAGTGAATCTGTCAACAGGTAAGTCCATGTGCAGAATATTAAAAAGGAACACTTGAGAGTCCAGGAGCCCTTTGTCTCAGCCACAGTCCCCACAGGTTTTTACAGCCAGAAGTCTGAGTACTTCTCTTCCTAACACTGGAACACAGGATTAGGGAGCCTTGTGTGTGGCTGGGAACTCTCACTCCTTAGGCGGGACCTCCCACAGCTGAGCTAGCCCTCCGAATTTTATCCACCACACCTGAGTGTTGGAGCAGCCCATTCCATGTCTCCACCCCTCCTCCAAGGCTCTATGTGGCTTCTTTTCAATATCCTTAGTTACAGGAGTTCTGTTCAGCCAATTTTCAGGCATCTGAATGATTGTTATTAAGCAGATTAGTTGTAATTTTGATGTGATTATGGAAGGAGGCAAGTATAACACTTATCTTTGTAGGGGAGCTTTGTCTGCAGATACCCTCATCTGCCACAGATGAGAATAAATCTACCAAGACATGATCTGCTTGGGGAGGAAAGGTGGCTGATCTCTTAAAGGACAAGGACCAAGAGCCTTTTCCTCAGTGGGCTTTTATTGGGTTCAATTTGCACAGGAATACAGGTAAAGCTCATCAGTCATTGTCAGGCATTAAAGATCAAACAATAGATAACATACAAAGAACTACCAGGGCTTATTCTGAGTCAGGGTCAGTTAGCTAAGGGGCCATAAAACTTTGGGAAACAAACTCATTTCCTGCCTGGACCCTTATCATTTAATTGAGAGCATTCTTAGCAAAACAGATTTTATAGGAGTTCATGTATTCTTTCTTAGACCTGATCTCCTGGGGAACCTGCCCTTTCAAGCACAGGGCTGCACCTCCCTCTGTCATTGTTTCAGGCTTAAGTCAGGGGAAGTAAGGCAGCCAAGAGATTAGGAGACTTCTTGCAGACAGAATAAGGACTCAGGCTGTGTTAAAGCCGAGGGGTGAGAGTTCTTCTCCCCCTTTTGCTATATCCCCACCCCAAGTCCTTCCTTGAGGGGCCCCCTGTGACTGTGCCTGTCTTAGGTCATCCCTCCCTTGAGAAATCTTACCTGTCATTGGCTAGCTGGTCATGCACTGGGGGCCAGATAGGGTGAAGTAAAGGGGGCAGAGGCAGCACCCATGCCAGGGAGATAAGCTCTGTCTCCTTAGTGGCTTATGGTCCCAAGGTCTTTCAGCCTTAGCCATGGGGGTTACAGCTTCTGAAACCAGACAGGATGGTTCCCAATATAACCTTCTCTATCATCTTGGCCAGAGCCTCTTTTCATACATTTTCAAGAGTAATAACTTTTAGTGATTTTTCTAAATATTAAAATAAATAGTATATATTCTCCCAAATAACAAATTAGCTTAAGGCTAACAAAATCTAGTGCATTACTATTTAATTTAGTAATCTTAAGTTCAGTGAGTAGTTGAGTGTCAACGCAGATTTGAAATAAAAGTTTTATTTAGCATGATTTATAAAAATGTGTTCCTGCACAGTGAGACCATTTGGATCAGCACAGTATTTGAAGCTGTAAATCACACAACATCCCATCACTAGCTGCTTCACAAAAGAGGCATTTTCCCCTCACCATACCAAATGTCATAAGGTAGGTTTTACTGGCATCAGCCCAGAACCTCATGATGTCAGGTGCCAGGTCTGGGAGTTTCGTGACCTCTGCCTTCAAGATTGCAGAATGTCCGTAGGACTTCAGGCACCACATACTCAGACAAACATGTTCAAAGGCAGGAATCAGGGTGTTGTGGGCGTAAAAAGTTTTATCAGTCTCCTTCTTAGGGAGGAAAGCATCTTTTTCTGGAACTCCTAGAAATATAAGACTTCCTTTAATGTTTCATTAACCAGAATTGGTTTTATGCCCACCCCTTCAGTCCAGGCTATCCCAGAACTACCTTTCTTAGATCACAGCTCTCCACCAGATAGTTAAACAAAATTATGTCTGTTGTGCTACATAGAAGATGTGAATGGACATGCATTTGTGGGTGTGGGGGACAGAGGAGGTTGGACAGAGGGAAAAGTGTGGGGTAGGAGTGGCTTTGGTAATTCAATGAACAGTGCCTGCAATTAGTCATTTAAGTAATGTCTGGAATTCTTAATTTAATCAGAGAAATCTTCAAACTCAAGTTTGTTAAAGTCAGTTGCCTGGTTATAAATACATACTTGTGAACAGAGCACAGCTCTTGTATGACCTCAACCAGTAACCAAAAAGGTGAGGTAAAGATCATGACAGATTTTCATTTATTTATTTTTTATTTATTTATTTATTGTTGTTCAGTTATAGTTGTACTGCCTTTTTCACCATAGCTCACCCCTACCCCATCCTCCCCCTACTTCCACAGTCAGTTCCTCCCCATTATTCACACCTATGAATCCTCTATTCGAGTTCCTTTGCTTGCCCCTTCCTCTTCTTTCCTCTGTTATACCCCTCACCCTCCCCTCTGGTCACTGTTTTGGTTCTTTATTTCCAACTCTCTGGTTCTATTTTGCTCATTGGTTTGTTTTGTTGACTACATTCCACTTATAGGTGAGATCATATGGTATTTGTCTTTTACTGTCTATCTTATATCGCTTAGCATAATGCTCTACAGTTCTATTCATGCTGTTGTGAAGGGGAGGAGCTCCTTTCTTTCTACTGAGTAGTATTCCATTGTGTAAATGTACCACAGTTTTTTGATCTACTCATTTACTGACGGGCACTTAGGCTGTTTCCGGCTCTTGGCTGTTGTAAATAACACTGGGTGATTTAAGATTCTTAGGGTAAAGTCCGAGCAGTGGAATCACTAGACTGAAAGGCAGTTCCATTTTTAGTTTTTGAGGAAGTTCCATACTATTTACCACAGTGGCTGCAGTAGTCTGCATGCCAACAGTGTACTAGGGTTCCCTTTTCTCCACAATTTCCCTTTTTGCCAGCATGTGTTGTTTGTTGATTTGTTTATGATGGCCATCTGACTGGTGTGAACTGGTATCTCACTGCAGTTTTAATTTTCATCTCTCTGATGGCTAGTGATGTTGAGCATTTTTTCATTGTGTCTATGGGCCCTTTTTATGTCCTTCTTGGAGAAGTGTCTGTTCAGGTCCTTTGCCCATTTTTTAATTGAATTGTTTATCTTTCTGGAGTGGAGTAATATGAGTTTTTCATATATTTTGGAGATCAAACCCTTGTCTGAGGTACATACAGTTGGTTCCCTTTCCATTTGATTGATGTTTTCTTCAGCCATGCAGAAACTTTTTAGTTTGATGTAGTCATATTTGTTTATTCCTTCCTTTATATCCTTTGCTCTACAGCATGTATTGGTGAAAATACTGCTGTGTGGAATATATGATATTTTCCTGCTTATGTTTTCCTCGAGGACTTTTATGGTGCTGTGACTTATATTTAAGTCTTTTATCCACCTTGAGTTTATTTTTGTGTATGGTATAAGTTGATAGTCAAATTTCATTTTTTTGCATGTAGGTGTCCAGATCTAACACCATTTGTTGAAAAAGCTATTTTTACTCCATTTTATACTCCTGCCCCTTTGTCAAATATTAATTGACCCTAGAGACATGGGTTTATTTCTGGACTCTATTCTGTTCCATTGGTCTATGTGTCTATTCTTATGCCAGTACCAGACTTGATTACAGTGGCCTTGTAATATAGTTTGATATCAGGTATTGTGATCCCTCCTACTTTGTTCTCCTTTCTCAAAATTGCTGAGGCTATTTGGGATCATTTATGACTCCATATAAATTGTTTGAAATGTTTGTTCTATATCTGTGAAATATGCATTGGTACTTTAATAGGTATTGCATTGAATCTATAAATTGCTTTGGGTAGTATGGACACTTCCAATCCATTAACATGGTATATGCTTCTATTTATTTGTATCTTCCTTAATTTCTTACTTCAGTGTTGTGTAGTTTTCTGAGTACAGGTCTTTTACCCCTTGGTTAGGTGTATTCCTAGGTACTTTATTTTTCTTGTTGCTATGGTAGATGAAAATTTTTTTCTAGTTCTGTTTTCTAGTATTATCACTGTAGCTAGGATTTCCAATACTACACTGAATTGAAGTGGTGAAAGCAGACATCCTTATCTGGTTCCTTATCTCAGTGTGAAAGCTTTAGGTTTTTGCCCATTGAATATGATGTTGGCTGTAGGTCATATATGGCCTTTATTATGTTGAGGAATGCTCCCTCTACTCCCACTTTGCTGAGTGTTTTTATCATAAATGGGTGCTATACCTTATTGAATGCTTTTTCACATCTATTGATATGATAGTAAATTTTAAAAAAACAAAAGACAAGTTTCTTTTTATCAGCAGAGCTTTGTACATTTTAAGGAAGTTCGCATTTTAGCTAGGGAAATTATATCAATACGGGTGAACATGCTACAGATCCAGATGTACCATGTAGATCTCATCACCCCAAATATGAAAATATTTAATTTTATTTTTTATTTAATTAATTCAAAACTCCTTTTAGAAACACTTATATGTAAGACCCTATGAGGTCCTTTATGTACTAGTGAACAAGGATTTCTTCCAGAACTGATGTTTAAGAATTCATCCAAAGTTTCTCCTTAGTCTACTTATTGCTCCATTATGTCTGAACCTTTCCAGTTCATATGAGGAGGCACAGGTCCATATCTCATACTAACACTTGAGATATTATCCCTTCTTCAACTACATCAAACGAATGTAAAATCTGATTCAGCTACATTTTTGTTTTGTAATTTTAAATGTGTTTGTTTTTAATTTTGGACTGTTAAAAGCAAAAGGGAAACAAGCACTGTTCTAAATCATGCCCTTGTGTTCTGCCTCCCTGACTCTAGTTCAGAGGTCAGGTGTCCTCTCCCTGCGACCCCATGTGCAAGACAGTTGACTGGGCCCTGGCCGTCTGGCACCAGCTCATCTTCTGCCTGGTCCACTTGGGTATACCCGAAGCACTTCTTGGGCCAAAGTATTTCCTGTCTTGCCCTGTAGTCCCAGGACCTGCCAAAGTGACAGTGAAGTAAGTGTCTTTTGTCTTTATTTGCCTTTTTAAAATAGAGCCATGGCCAACTTGGGCTTCTTTTTGAGAGTAAGAATGCTGATAGCCATCTCCTGTCATCAGTATGAGGTGTCAGAGGAAAACTATGACGTCTGTTGGGTAACTCTTAAGGAAACTTTTTTTACTAAGAATTAGATAGCAGTTTACCTCTTTTACAAAACTCTCATCAAAGTCATGTGTGACTGGCTGTGCAGTGTCTCCTGGGAAGGCCCATATGAGAAATTTGGTCAAGTATCTCATAACCAAAGCCTTATATTCTACTGCTGAACTCAAAACTGCCTTCTATATTAATGAAACTTTTGTACTTACAATGCTTTTCTTTGTAGCAGCTTATGAGAACAGACAGATAAACAATACAGTTAATGAAAGAGAAAATCAAAAGGTAGAAAAATAATTGTCACGATCCAGCTTAGTAAGGGTTTTGTGATTAGCTGGTAGCTTTTATTCTGCAATTGCTGGCATCCTGGGAAGAAATCCATTTTGGAAAGTGGAATACAAATAGTATATCTTCTTTATTATAAGACAAACTGTCGATTTAATTACAGGTAATTGGGAGTGGGGAGGAAGAATCACTGTGTTAAAATATACACAGCATTCTCTTACTCAAGAGCAGAAATACATTTATGCATATAATCATGCCCTTTTTAAAATCAGTATTACAATTAAGTTAAGCCTTTTTACACTCAGAGCCTCAAGATTTTTAGGATCCAGTGTTGGCCTTTCCTGTCAGGAGTACAGTCAATATAGAGAACTGTAGAGGCTCTGAGATTTGTACTGTGTTTGCAAGCTAACAAGTTCAGGGTGCTGGGTCAGAGGCCAAGGACTTCATCACTTGCATCACAGCCCCAGCTTGGGCTTCATATTTCATTGGTTCCCCCAGCTCCTCACATTCCCCTAGGTGATGCACAGTGACCCAGGTGGATGCTGGATTTCCATCAACAGCTGCAGACCTTGAGCTTGGGAATCCCCAGGCTTCTAAAGAGATTGCTGCCAGATCTTCCCACCCTTTGCCCTGGAAGGAGATGTTACTTTCATTATCCTGGTCAGGAAACAAACCTGCCTTCTGCTCCAGAAAGAGAGCAGATGGACATTGGGTCCATCTTCAAGACGGTGTGCTCTACTAACATCCTTGAAAAGGTAGTCTGGAACAAATGCTGACACACAGTGTGCAAATGTGTCATAGAGAATTGTCTCCCAACAGCCATATTAAGGAACTGCTATTTTTTTAAAAACAAAGCTTATTATCTCTACCCTTTTAGCACTTTTAGAGTAACTGCAAGTTTGACTCACATGGTAGAATACCAGATTATTTTTATATTCTCTATTGTAGTTTCTTTTTTTCTTGAATTACATTATCATTAGACAGTAATGAAGAAGTTTACAGTAGATAGATTCTTGATACATGAGTAAGTTTTAAGTCTTTTTTTAATATGCAATTTTTTAAAGATTTAATTTTTTTAGACAGAATGAAGGGGAGGGAAAAGGGGAGAGAAACTTCACTGTGTGGTTGTTTCTCACAGGCCCTGTACTGCCCCCTCTCCCCACCCCCGCCCCATGACCGTTAGGTTCACAAGCCGGCACTCAATCTGTTACAGGAAAATGAAGCAACCAGACACCGGGGGATTCTGGAGTACGAGGTTTATTAACGTGCATGGGCTCAGAGGAGTCAGTCTCCAAATTCTGAGCCCCAAACAAAGGATTCTTGGGGTTTATATAGTCTATGGGGTCTTCCTGTCTAAGTAGCAAAACAGGATACAGAAGTGGAATGCAGAAATTAGTTCTAGCTACGGGGCAGAAGCAAAGTACAAAGGCCAAATGTGAAAATTAGTTCTATCTGCGGGGGTGCTAGCCCCAGTTCTTGTGACTATCCTGCTGTTTGCTTTTCCCAGAGGGCTTTATCGCTCTCTCAGGGCACCTGGGATTTGGGTGAACAAAGGTCTTCCAAAGCTTCCCACTTCAAATCCACTGAGCCACACCTTCCAGGGCGTTTTAACAGTCATAAAAGGTTTATGCCACTACCTAATAGCTTTGAAAACTTTCCTATTCTGGGAGATGTGTTTTTGTCCCTATAACTTTGATCATGTTAACTGATTTTTAATTCTACAACAAAATGTAATTTTTTAAGGAATTTTCATTGGTATTGGGTACTCCAAACTTGAGCTTAAGTTCCAGTGCTACAGCTAGCTATTAATGCAAAGGTCTGCCTGAAGCTTGTTTACCTGTCCCCTGTCTGCACAGCTAAGCCTGCCTGAGTGCAGACACTGAGCCCTCGCCTGGGGGCAATGTTTAACTTGCCAGTGATTTTTAGATGTATCCCAATTTCAGAATTATTAAAATACATGTTTCTTATTAAGGAAATATGGCAAATAAATTTAAGCTATTTAAACATGAACTTGCAGGAAACCTTTTTTTTCCAGACTTCTTCTGTCTATAAATTTACCTTTCCATGTCTTTTTAAACAAATTTTATTAAATTTCTTGGGGTGATTTTGGTTAATAAGATTATGTATGTTTCAAGTGTACAACTATATAATAATATCTTTCCATATATTTTATTCATGCATTCATCCAACACACACTCAAGCATTGATTTCTGCTCTCAAGGATCATACAAAGCAAAAGGAGAGGGGCGTGTAAACAGTTTCATTTGAAATAGATTGTATTTTTGAGGCAAAGTCAAACTACTTTGGGGTTGGATAATTATACTTGTTCCAGAGCTACTTGGAAAAAATAGCATACCTTTAGAAACACTTATGTTTTTTCTACGGTCTTCAAATTGTACTTTTGTAGACTTGTCTATAACTCCTGAGAGGCCTGGTCCTAACTGTGTCCACCCCTCTTTTGCAAGGTGGATGTGTAAACTGTGGAATGCTGTCATTGCACCCAGAGTTCAAGAAGCAATATTGGCAAGAGCCTCTGTGAAGACACCCTAGTCTTGTGCAAACAAAAAAGCACCCTAGCCAAGGATAGCAGGCTGTGGTTAAAACTGCTCAGCATCTTGCTCAATAAAGCTGTTCTGCATGGATGTCCCCTCCAGAGAGCAGGTATGTGGGCTTGTGCTGGGAGGAGAGAGAAGCTGTACTTTTATGTCAAACTTGTTTAAATTTGTTATTAGAGAGCTCTGGTTTTTCTTTCTGTAACTAGAGAAATTATCTCAGCATTAATGAACATTTCATACCATTGCTCCAGAACTGTCTCTCTCTTTTGTAATTACTTGCTAATGTTTAAATTTGACACCTCCGAGTAAAGTGTGATTGTGGGGGCGACTACTTTGCAAGGTCCCCCTGGTGCCATGGTCACTCGTGAATGAGTAAATATGGCCGAGACAAGATGAGATCTGTTTGGGGATGGAGGAATGGGCTGTGGCCAGTTTCTCTGGGGAGAAAGAGGCCAGCAGCGGCCAGTTTCTCTGAGGAGAAAAAGGCCTCGAGCGCCTTTCTCCATAGCCTTTTATTGGGTTGTAATACACAGGAATACAGGGCATCAAGGATCAAACAGTAGATAACATTTCAAAGGAATCTGAGGGTTTCAGTCTGAGTGAGTGTCTGTCAGGAAGAGAGTTGCAGAAACTTCGGGAGACATACTCGTTTCCTCTTGGACCTTTATCATATGAATGAAAGCACTCTTAGCAGAGCAGATTTCACAGGTTTATCAGCAAGTCTTTGGTGCCAGATTTTTCCCCAGGGCATGCTGTGGCCAGGCAAGGAGCTGCACCCCTCCCCAACAGGTATTCAGGCTTAAGGGGATTAGAGCCAGGAAGCGCTTCTCCCAGACAACATGGGGACTCAGCCTTTGACAAAGCTGGGGGATGAGAGTCCATTGCTCTCTGTTGCAGCCCCCTGAGTCCTTCCATGAAGGCCTCCAGGTGATCGAGTCTGGCTTAGGTTGCCCCCCCCCCCCCCCGCTGTGAGGGGTCTTACCCGTCATTGACTTCCGTCCAAGCTCTGGGGGCAGGGAGAGGAACTGAGGCAGCATTTGCTACTAGAGACAAACTTTGTCTCCTGTGGCTGGCATTCCAGAGGTCGTCTCTCACCCTTAGCTACAAGGGGTAGAGATACAATTCCTAAAATCAGGCAGAGCAGTCTACTACATGTGATGGTTCACGGAATTCCTGCTTCAGTATTAAGTAGGCTTGTGATTTTGAAGAGTCTCCTTTGAGAATTAGAAATGTGCATTTTGCTTGACACTATGAAACTGCATTATCACTTCTTTCTTTTTGGCAAAACATGATTTTTGTTGTTTCAGAGCTGGACCAGCATACCACTGATTTCAAAGGAGGAAGTTTCCCTTTATGCATAGTTTGAAGTTATAACAGTTGCAGCAAGAAGAAAGGAGAGAGTGGTGCCTAGAGAAAGGTGAGCACCAGTCCTCACAAGAAGTCTGGCTGTTTGTCTTCACCCACCTGGAGCAAGCCAGTCCTGAGTGAGAAAGGTAAGGGAGCTGTCATGGCACCTAGAGGCACCTGGGCACTCAAGATCTAGTTTCTCAATGCAAATGTGCTTTTCTTTTCTTTCTTTTTTTTTCACTATACATTCAACAAAATTCTGAGTATCTCAAAGCACATTTTTCATGAAATAAAGTACATGGTAGGTACATTTCCAAAATTACATGGGAGTCCCCTAACTGAAAATCATTTTTCATACTAGATTTCTGATATTAAATTTATCTTTACCATGTTAATGGTCTTTTAAAATTAATTTGATATTTGTGGTGTCCACAATTAAATTTTTGTCTTTCAGTAATTGTACTTTGGCATATTGCTTTCCGTTTATGTGCCATCCTTAAGCCAACCTTAAATTTTTAAAGGTATATGTACAGACGTATTTGGTACCAGTTGAGACCTTTATAAGTGAATACATATAACTTTTATATATTTCTTTTTCATATATAATGTGTACCATTTGCCAGGTACCATTCTAGGCAATGGAAATAAAGCACTAAAAGCAGCAACAATCACTGCCCTCATAGAGTTTACATTCTAAAAAATCATTAAACAGAATCTATATAATGGAATGTCATTTATAAAAAAGGAATACATAAGTTTTCATTTTAACAAAGGAGATATAGCACATCTATCTTTGGTGTTAGACCTGTTTCTTTTGGTTTTGATAATTATATAAATTATAAATGTCCTTCCTAAAGGAAATCTATATTTCAGTAAGAATGAAACGATGTTCCAACATACATATGTGGTAGATTTCTGATATATGTAATTTAGGCCTTGAGGAGCCACCTCCAACTACTTTGTCCTGTGTCATTATATGCCGAGTGTACAGCAGTGGGGTTGGTAAATGTGTGAATATGATGCCTGAAATTTAAAAACATAAAAACACTTTGTTCATTAATACCCACACTTTAGCTTATATTTTGTTAATTTTTAATAAAAATTTAATATGATTTTTAAGCATATTAATTCATGCTGGAGTTTTGTAATTACCTCAAATGTGTGTGTTAGTAAATTATGATTGACTTTTTTCCTGTCTCTCCTTTTTAAATTCTTTAGTTTTCAATTACAGTTGACATTGAATACTATATTAGTTTCAGGTGTACAGCCTAGTGTTTAGACATTTATATAACTAACAAAGTGATCCCCTCAGTAAGTCTAGTACCCACCTGGCACGATACAAAGTTATTACAATATTATTGACTATATTCCAAATGTTGTACTTTATATCTCTTTGGAAAAATAATGAAGTTGAAAATATCTTCTCAGATATCATATTTTTTGGAAATTTTAAGGTAAGATACATATACCTTCATTAACTGATGATCTAGTAGACCAGGGGTCTGTTTACTAGGACCACAGCTGTACCCATTCATTTATGTATGACTGTTTATGTCTTTTTTTATGGAGATATAATTGACACATACCACTGAATAAGTTTAAATTGTACAACATAATGATTTCAAATATATATATACACACACAACACAAAATGATTACAATAATAAAGTTAGTCAACATCTATCTCTTCACATAGTTACACATTTTTTTGGTAATGAGAACTTTTAAAATTTACTCTCTTAGCAACTTTGAGTTATACAATACAGTATTGGGGTTTTTTTAAAGATTTTATTTATTTACTTTTAGAGAGAGGGAAAGGGAAAGAGAAAGAAAGGAAGAGAAGCATTAATGTGTGGTTGCCTCTCACACAGCCCCTGCTGGGGACCTGGCCTGCAACTGAGGCATGTCCCCTGACTGGGAATCAAACCAGCAACCCTTTGGTTCACAGGTCCCCTCTCAATCCACTGAGCTACACCAGCCAGGGCTACATTACAGTATTATTAACTGTAGTCATTCTGTTGTATATTACATACCAAGGACTTACATATCTTATAACTGGAAATTTGTACCTTTTAGCCAGCTTTACCCAATTTCCCCAACTCATCCCATCCTCTGATAATCACAATGTTTCTATGAGTTTGGGTTTTGTTTTAAGATTTTATTTATTTATCTTTAGAGGGGAAGGGAAGGAGAGAGGGAGAGAAATACAATGTATGGTTGCCTCTCATGCATCCCCTACTGGGGACTGGCCTGCAACCCAGGCATGTGCCTTGACTGGGAATCGAACCACAATCTTTTGGTTTGCAGGCCCGGTGCTCAATCCACTGAGCTACACCAGCTGGGGCGAGTTTGGTTTTTTGAGAATCCACACATAAGTGAGGTCATACAGAGTTTGTCCCTCTCTCTCTGACTCACTCCACTTAGCACAGTGCCCTCAAGGCCCATCCATGTTGTCACAAATGGCAGAATTTTCTTCTTCTTAGGGCTGAATAATTTCCATTATATGTAAATATTATATATACCAGTAGTATTCCATTTTCTGTATAAGTATTATATGTATATAATATTCACTTTATCCTTCATCTCTTGATAGAAACTTAGGTTGTTTCCATGTCTTGGCTGTAGTAAATAATGCTGCAGTGAACATGGGAATGAAGATATCTCTTTGGGATAATGACTTCATTTTGTTCAAATATATACCCAGAAGTGGGATTGATGGATCATGTGGTAGCTCTGTTTTTAGTTTTTTGAGGAACCTCATACTGTTTCTCATAGTGGCTGTATCAATTTACATTTCTGCTAACAGTACTGTACAAGGGTTTTCTCTTCTCAACATATTCTCCAGTAGTTGTTATCTCATCTTTCTTTTCCTTTATTTTTATTGTTGATACTATTGCAGATGTCCCCATTTCCTCCCTTTGCCCCTCTCCTCCCACCTCCTGCTCTCCCTTCTCTCTGGCCATCACCACACTGTTGTCTGTGTCCATGATTTGTACATATATGTTCTTTGACTAATCCCTTCACCTTCTGTCTTCTAGTCCCTCTTCTCCACTTCCTCTCTGAAAGCTGTCACTCTGTTCCACATATCTATTCCTCTCTTTCTAATATTTTGTTTGTCAGTTTATTTTGTTCATTAGATTCCATATATATGTGTGATCATATGGTATTTGCCTTTCTCTGCCTACCTTATTATACTTAGCATAATAATCTCCAGAACCATCCATGCAGTTGGATGGATCCATCCAAAAGAAAAGCTTTCCTTCTTTTTATGCCCACATAATATTCCATCGTGCAAATATGTTACAGCTTTTTTATCCACTCATCTACTAGTGGGCACTTGGGCTGTTTTCATATCTTGGCAGTTGTAAATAAGGCTGCTATGAACACAGGAGTGCATATATTCTTTCAAACTGGTGTTTTGGGATTCTTAGGATATATCTCCAGAAGTGGTATCACTGAATCAAAAGGCAGTTCCATTTTTTATTTTTTGAGGAAATTCCATACTGTTTTCCACAGTGGCTGCACCAGTCTGCACCCACCAACAGAGCATTAAGGTTCCCTTTTGTCCACATCCTCACCAGCACTTGTCATTTGTTGCTTTATTAGTGGTAGTCATTCTGGTGGGTGTAAGGTGATATATCTCATAGTTTTAACTTGAATCTCTCTGATGATTAGTGACCCTGATCATTTTCCATATGTCTTTTGGCCATCTTTTTGGCCATGTCTGTGTCCTCTTTGGAGAAATGTCTGTTCAGTTTCTTTGCCCATTTTTAATTGGATTATTTGTGTTCCTGGTGTTGAGTTGTATCAGTTCTTTACATATTTTGGAGATTAACCCCTGTCACAGGTATCATTGGTAAGTACGTTCTTCCATTAAGTAGGTTCCCTGTTCATTTTGTTGATGGTTTCTTTTCCTATGCAGAAGCTTTTTAGTTTAATGTAGTCGCATTTGTTTATTTTCTTTATTTTTATTTTTATTTTTATTTTCTTGATTATGCCATTATAGTTGTTCTATTCCCCCCCTTCATTCCCCTCCACCCTGCACCCCCTACCCTTACCATTCTCCCCCTTTAGTTTATGACCATGTGTCTCAAGTTCTTTGGATTCTATATTTCCCATACTATTCTTGCCCTCCCCCTATCTATTTTCTACCTACCGTCTATGCTACTTATTTTCTGTACCTTCTCCCCCCTTCTCCCACTCCCCTGTTGCTAACACTCCATGAGATCTTCATTTCTATGGTTCTGCTCCTGATCTAGCTGTCCTTTTAGCTTGCTTTTGTTTTAGATGTGGTTGTTAATAACTGAGTTTGCTGTCCTTTCACTGTTCATCTTTTTTATCTTCTTTTTCTTCGATAAGTCCCTTTAACATTTCATATAATAAGGGCTTGGTGATGATGAACTCCTTGAATTTGATCTTATCTGAGAAGCACTTTATCTGCCCTTCCATTCTAAATGAAAGTTTTGCTGGATAGAGCAATCTTGGTTGTAGGTCTTTGGATTTCATGACTTGGAATACCTCTTTCCAGCCCCTTCTTGCCTGGAAGGTCTCTTTTGAGAAATCAGCTGACAGTCTAATGGGAGCTCCTTCGTAGGTGACTGTCCCCTTTTCTCTTGCTGCTTCTAGGATTCTCTCCTTCATTTTAATCTTGGCTAATGTAATTATGATGTGACTTGGTGTGTTCCTCCTTGGGTCCAACCTCTTTGGGACCCTGTGAGCTTCCTGGAGTTCCTGGAAGTCTATTGCCTTTGCCAGATTGGGGAAATTCTCCTTTATTATTTGTTCAAATAAGTTTTCCACTCATGGCTGTTCCTCTTCCCCTTCTGGTACCCCTATAATTTGGATGTTGGAGCGTTTAAAGATGTCCCGGAGGTTCCTAAGTCTCTCCTCATTTTTCTGAATTCTTGTTTCTTCATATTTTCCTGTTTGGTCATTTTTGCCTTCCTTCTGGTTCACTCCCTTGATTTGAGTACTAGTTTCCTTTTCATCACTATTGGTTTCCAGTGCAATTCCCTTCATTTCAATTAGTTTAGCCTTCATATGTTCCTCTAATTTGTGACTAAAATCAGTCAGTTCTGTGAGCATCCTGATCACCAGTATTTTGAACTGTGCATCTGAAAGTTTTGCTATTTCTTCATCACTTAGA